CAATTAACCTCACAACAATCAAATTAAGCTAGTTTCTACATGAATTAAACAAAAATCATGCTTGGAGGCTGCCGAACTTCCTCCCCTATTTCAACAGAATTTCGGACATCACAAGGCAGCAAATTAAATGGATAATTTTAGGCTTGGAAAAGCCGGCAACTTACCAGAATTCCAGCCAGCAGAAACCGAGCTTGGCTGGTGAGGAAGCCGACGGGATCTTGGGGGGAACTCACGACAAACTCCAGAAATTCAAGAACCAATAACAAAATTAGAGTAACCCAAGCCAAATGAAGAGAGAAAGAATGAATTTCATGGCTGTGGCTTACCAGAAAAGGCGAAGGATTCACACCTAGCAGAACCCGACGGACAGGGGAGGAAGAGACACCGAGCAGATCTGGGAAAATTCTGGGTTTAATGAGAGTTCTAAGCCCCAAATCTTGTTATTTAACAAGAAAAGAAGAAGAAATTTCAAGTTTTGTTACCAATTTTTCTCAAAGGGGATAATCGGTGGCTTAGGGGAGCTTCGGTCGGCAGAGGAGAAGAAAAAAGAGCAGGATGCGCGGATAAGGAAGAAGAAAGAAAGAAAAAAAAACTCAGCCATCCTTATCCTAATTTCTTTCATCTTTTAAGTCCCTCAACTTTTAAAAATTTTGCAATTAAGCCCCTCAATAATATTTTTCCCCAGATAAGTCCCTAACTTTATGCAAAATACCACAAAATTTTGGGATATTACAAAAACTGTTTATTTGACTTGTTTAACTAACTTATTACTTATACTTATATAATTAAAATTTTACATGTCCTTCTTGTACTTAATATATATATATATAATAACAATAATTTTTAGAAATAAAAGTTAAATAGTCATATAATTCAAACAAATCACACATGTAGCAATAACAACTTGTATAAATAATAAACTCTTAGTCAAACACATAACACACGTAACAATAATGTCTCATACTAAACATTTTCTTTTCTTAATTAAGCCAAGTACATAAATGTATACACAAGTTACCTGCTACTTGTTAAGTACTTAGTATAGATATTCAAGTATTTAGATAGGTAGCAAGTATAAAAAACTATACTTGGAAATTTTCAAATCAAGTACCAAATGTAACTCATACCTAACTTGTACTCCGAAAATGCTCACCGTTACAAGATACAAAGAGATGCTAGATATATAAGTCAATATTCATTAACTTCTATGAACGCGTTTTAAAACTGTGAAACTTAATATGGGCAAAGTGAATAGTATTAGTGGGTTGGGTCTTTACATATAGTATTAAAGTAACTCTGCATAACCTCTTAAACAATGGTGGGGTAAAACACAACAAGAATACTGAATTTTGAAAGTGGGGTGTATATGACATTTCTAAAAAAATCTCATATGGACAAGTACGGAAAGATGCAAGACATGTTTTTTTTTTTTTTTTTT